GGTTTTTCTCCTCCCAGGTGACGCTGGTTTGTGTCACACTGATAGCCACTGGAGAGGAAAGAGAGGACTGGAAACTTCCCCAAAACCCCGCTATGGATAAGAATTTACCTGTGCCGCTGCTTGTCTTTTCCAATTTCCAATTTCAGGGGACTTGTCTCTACCTTTAGATATCACAGACAACAGCCCTATACTCAGTTAAAAAAAAAAAAAAAGAATCAATGACAATCCAGGTTCAGTGGTCCATCTAGTTGCAACTGCCCATAATGCTGAGTGGGGACACATAGCTTAAGAACTTGAAAACAAATGACGGACTGAGAGGGACAAAGAGCCCCACATGCAAGTGGTCTGCCCCAGGCTGCAAGGAAAACGAGAGAAGAGAGAGAGAGAGAGAGAGAGAGAGAGAGAGAGAGAGAGAGAGAGAGAGAGAGAGAGAGAGACTGGCTCATTTCCAGTAGACAGATACGTATCTGAAGAGGCGAAAGCAGTGAGAAGCGGGCTGAGGCGGGTGGCTTGATTGCCACCCAGGGCCATGGTGATGTCTGGGCCTGGGCTGCTGCTGGGACCCATATCTGGGTTCATAGCCCTGATGCAGCCTTAGTCTGTGATGATGTAGGTGGCAGCTCCTGATACCAAGGAAGGCCAGGAGGATAGGGCTCTACAGAGTAGGCCCCGCCCCTCACTGGCTGCAACACTAGGAAGGACCAATCCTGCTACTCACGGGCTGAAGTACTCAGGGGAGAGGATCTTACACCTCAGCTGAGCTGCACGATAGAGCTGACCCTATTTGGCCCTGAGGGGTGAGAACGGGAGGGCAGGTGGCATCCCTCGTATCTGCCATGTAGTGGCGTAGGTGCGGGGCCTGACCCAACAGGTACTCGGGAGAATGGGTCCTGCACCTCACCCGTGCAGGGATGCGGGTGAGCCAGCCCAGAGGGCATGAAAGGGGCACAGCTGGTACTGCTTCCCTCACCTGGTGTGGTGGTGGCGGTGAGGGAAAGATGCCCTCCCTCCTTCCCACTACCACCTTCAGATGGGGAAGGAGCTGACCGGCTCCAACACTAAGGAAAGCAGCCCCGTACCTCATCCGGGAAGCACGACAGGGCTGGCTATGGGGCACAGGTTGTTGTAGGAGGCTGCTTGTTTGTTTTCGGCTGCCCAGAACCAAAATAATCATACAGAAACCATATTATTTGTAATACTGTTTGACCAATAGCTTAAATGTATTTTTGGCTAACTCATATTTTAAATTAACCGATCTCTGTTAATCTGAGGCTTACCGGGCAAAATTTTGGCATCTGTCTCTGGCAGGGCTACATGGCTTCTCCCAGAATTTTGTTTAGTTCTCCCGGCCTCCCCAGCTCTATTTTGCTAAGCCACTAGCCAAAACAGCTTCCTTATTCATTAACCAATAAAAGCAACACATATACAGAAGGACTTCCCACACCAACAGATGAGCCGCAGTAGAGAACAGGAGCTTGGGAGATCTGGTCCCGCCCCCTCATCTGCCGCCTCTAGCCACTCATAGCAGGTAGGAAAGCTGGCCCTGAGGTCGTAAGAGTAGGGAGGTTGGCCCTGCCCCCTTGCTCATCCAGGCAAGCGGTAAACAAGCAAGCAATGATGGTGAAGACAGGGAAGAACGGGCGGGCTGACCAACCTGTAACTACCCAGGCCCAGAATCAGGGTTATGAGTTGGCCCACCCAAACATCCACCCCATCTGTGATCTTCGGGAGCACATGAAAGGGCCGATCCTGCAGACCCACAGCTGCAGGTTCTCCCTGACGTAGAGCAAGAACAGGATATCTAAGAGGAGCCCCAGTGAGGGCCCAGCACCAATAGTGTATCAGAAACCAGAGGCCTGAACCAGACCAATGACCCTGCAGTGAACACTTGCAAGAAAAGATAAATGAAGGGAAGGCTTTGCTCCGTTGTTCACCGTGTCACACGACAGCCTCTGTGACAAAATTTTTTATTTTATTTTACCTTAAATTTTATTTTATTGTGAGGGGAAGGTTGCAAGGGCAGAGGGTGGATATGGAGTGATGAGAAATGAATGGGAGCAGACGCGTGGTGTGAAAGACACAAAGAATAAATAAAAAGAAATTAAAAAAAAGAATTTGAAAACAGGCTGAGCAAACATATCGAGACTTTGTCCCCAACGGAGAAATCACCAATCAAGCACCAGAGACAACTCTCAGTGTGGCGTCTGTCCCAGACACTGTGGCTGCTTGGGACTAGTAGGAAGCCGGCTGGTGCACAACTGAGAAATGAGAGGTCTGTAAGGGTCTGTGAGACGCAAGCACATGGCGAGTCTGAGCACCCATAACTCAGGTTCCAGGGCATCCAATTCCTTCTGCAAGCACCACACATGCGCACACGTGCGCACATGCGCACACACACGTAGAATAGGTACATACATCAGGGGAAACATTCAACATGTAAAATACAATGAGCAAATCTAATAAAAATTTTAAGTCACTTGATTGGATTAACAAACATGGGAACTACTGAAAAGGGAAATCAGTGAATTCGATAATTCAATTGAGATTGTTATGTGTCAGAGAGACTAAAATGGGAAATACAGGCCACGAACACACACACACACACACATATATCCTATGAAGTTCCGGAGGAGAGAAGATGGATTTTAAGAGCAACAATGATAATAAAGATAGAGAATAAGCCCAGTATTGTGCCACACATCTATAGTTTCAAAACTCAGGAGTTAGGGGGAGGGAAAGTATAAATTCGAAGCCCTCCTGGATTCGTCTGAAAATGGAAGAAAAATTCTGAAGAACATAGTGACCCAAATTTTTCCAAATATGATGAAATACACTAACTGGCACATCCAAGAATCTCAGTAAATTAAAGCAACACAAAGAGATTCAGAGTGAGACTGTGCTGCAATCAGAGTCCTGAAAGGCAGTCTTTAAAGCAGTGGAGGAGACGGGCTCATCGCAAGCCAAGAATTCTAAATAAGAGTTTGGGGCTAGAGAAGCAATTCAGCAGGCGAGGTCATGTACTGCTCTTCCAGAGGACCTCAGTTTGGTTCCCAGCTCCCTTGTCCAGCAGTTGACAACTCGTAACTCCAGCCCTGGGGGACTGGTTGCCCTCTTCTGGCCTCAACTGGCACTGCACTCGTGCGTATAGGCATATACACAAGAATTTAGGTAAAAAAAAAAAAAACAGTCAAAGACTAATACATCATTTCTTGCCAGAAACAACTGATATTTGAAGGCAGTTAAGCAGTCTAGTCAGCGTGCTAGAAGAAAAATTTGTCAACTAGAACACCCTCATTTGTTTACCACTGAAACCACCCCTTTGCCATGTGCACACTTTCCCATGTTCCTGTCCCTAGTGAGAGAGATGGTTCAGAGGGGGCCTCCCCTACACCAGAGCAGTCACTGTGCCAAGTCTCATCGCCTCCAGAAGACCTTTCTGTGGCTAAAGGGACATCTCACACCGTGGTCCTTTAGAACCTCAGTGAACGGTGATAAGACAGCCCTGAAAACTGAAGTATAAAACTTAGTCTATCTTCCTCGCAGAGACAACGCCCCGTGCACCCCACCCCCATCACTTGGACAAAAGCCATACTCACATAGGCTGGTGGGCTGGTCAGTTTTATTGTCAACTTGACACAGCCCAGTGTCCCCTGAGAGGAAGGAACCTCAACTGAAACATTGCCCCCATCAGACTGGCCCGTGGAACTGGCGCGGGGAGGGAGTGACATTTTGTGATGTCTTTGATACAGACAGGCTCAGCCCCCTGCAGGTGATACCATCTCCTGGCAGGTGGACCTGGACTATGTGAGAAAGCTGGCTGGACGGGCTGGAGGGACCAAGCCAATCAGCAGCATTTCTCCATGGTGTCTCCTTTGCTTCCTGCTTGAGCTGCTGCCCTGACTTCCTTCAGTGATGAACTGTGACCTGGAAGTGTAAGCCAATGAACCCTTTCCTTGCCTGAGCTGTTTCTGATCAGAGTTTATGACAGCAGCAGAGAGTAAGCTAAAAGACAACAAAAGGACACGTGTCCACTTCCAAGCAACTAACCTGTGAGAAGGGCCAGGGTTACCTTAGTCAGCCAAGGGATTTGTATGTCTGTCCTTGTTTCTGTTGTTGCTGTTTTTAAGTAAATGGATATCTACAGAAAAGCTCTGGGGGTGTAGACAGAAAACTCAGCTCCTGTGACCCAGAGCTAGAAAGTGCCACCCCAGCACAAGGGGAAGGATGGGACAGGGACTTTCCTGAGGTGTGGCAATGCCAAATGACTCATGCCACTTCCTTGTTCTAGCCCTTTCCATTGCTAGGGTGGAGAACACAGACAGGCTGGAGAAGCACTCTCATTTAAAGGGTGGCCATGGTGTGGCGAAAGCGTCTTGCCTTCTTCTTGCAACAATACCAGACAAGGATCTAAAACGACAGAGCAAGAGGGGGACGGTTTAGATCTCAGAAAATGGCTCCTCCAAGGGCTCTGCCACACTTAGGACTTCCCACTAAAGGAGGCTACAAGCCCTCTGAAGCAGCCTCGGCACAAAGATATCTCTGACCTCCCAGCTTTCTGCTTCTTCCCTGAAGCAAGAATTTCTCTGACCCATGACGGCTGGTGGAAACCAGAAGCAATTTTCATGAAGGCAAGGCATAGAGTATAGGCTAGCATGAAAGCCATCTCTAAGGTCGCTGGAGGAGTAAGACATAATTAAAGGCTCTAGCCTACCAAATCCTAGGAGCTCTACTCCAGGAGGGGCCTGCATATCATATGCCCCGGGGGAAGGGATGCTACACAGCAGCCAAGAAGACTCCCAGCAGGCAGATTGCTCAATCTCCAGACTTGGTGTATCACTATAGGCCACACCCTTTCCACACATCAGTGCATTCTCCACTGAACATAAACATACACACACACTCACACGCGCGCACACACACAGAGCAGTCATGTCTGAGTCCAAAACTCATCTTCAATAAACCTCATGTGAGGCTTGTCTCTTATTTTGCCCTTGTTACAGGAATGTCAACCATGACTCCTATGAAAGAATCAAATCCTTTCTCCCCAGCAAGCACAGGAGCCGTCTTTGAGATCAGTTCAACACATTCTAGAGCTCGTTACCCACTGTGAATACAATTACAAAAAGAGTCAAGCTCAACAAATTCCTCTTCGCCAAGCCAGGAACTGAAGGAACCTCAAAGCTCACAAGGCAGGCGAAGAGACCCGACAAAGAAGAAAGCAGAGAAGGGGGTGTAAAGAAGAGGCTAGCCACCTCAGTCCTCGCAAGCAAGGCTGGATTTGCAGTTTCATCCCGTGACTTACTGAGGTTGTCTCTCAAGAACTAGAGAAGATAATGGTTCCTTCCAGACTCTAAATCTGCCTGAAAGCAAAACGCTCAGAGCTCTGCCAGTCCCTCCGCTCACAGGCAGAGGAATAATTGGGCTTTTTATACCTCAGGAGGCTTTCCAATCACCAGAGACTAGGCATCAGCAAGTATATAAATCCATCCATAATTCAAAAAGAATCCAAGCTGTTGAGGAAATCTAAGCCCAAACAGAATGGCTCTTTACTTCGCGGAACCACACTGCTTTTTGAAATGCTATTATTGAGCTCATTCAGTAAAATTCGCTTGCTTAAAGGCTCTTTGCTGAATAGAAAAGCAGAGAGTGAGAACTCATAAAATGCTGTTTCATAAGCAGGCTCTGTGTGGGGGTCGGGGAAATCACACTGAAGAGTCTGTGTGCAACACCTCCTGCAGCGTGGGCACCTGCAAAGGGACCAGAAGGATGTGGATGCTATTACTGCTGTGCTTTCTATCGTTGTTGACTGTGGAGGTAGAGAAAATGTAATACTCATGTTTCGTATCAAGTTATAACTAATCATGCTCTCAAAAGAATCTTTATTATTATCTAAAATTAATGATAGCTTTAAATTCCTTAATGTATTTTTTTTAATTGTAGGAATTCCTTATTGTGTATATCTCTGACCTAGAAGACACCAGAATACAGCTCCCTCAAATATGCCTCTTGTTTGTTTTTTAAAAAAAAGAAAGAGTATGGAGTTGTGCGGAGAAGGAGGGCAAATCTGGTAGGAGTTGGTGTAAAGGGGAAGTGTGATCAGAATATATTGTATGAAAAGAATTGGAAGAAGAGGAAGGAGAAGAAGAAGAAGAAGAAGAAGAAGAAGAAGAAGAAGAAGAAGAAGAAGAAGAAGAAGAAGAAGAAGGAAGAAGAAGAAGAAGAAGAAGAAGAANAGAAGAAGAAGAAGGAAGAAGAAGAAGAAGAAGAAGAAGAAGAAGAAGAAGAAGAAGAAGAAGAAGAAGAAGAAGAAGAAGAAGAAGAAGAAGAAGTCGTCGTCTACTCTCGAGTGGTGCTTTGGTGCCAGTGAGAGCTCTCCATTTTTGTGCTGGGAAAGAACGACTTAGTCCTCGGAACTTCTTAGTGAAAGTGGCCGCCTGTTGAAGCTATGATTCACCTCTGCACTCTGGTTCAGCAAAAGAGAGCAGCGGAACATGAATACCAGTCCACATCCCTGAATTCCTGAGATTCCCCACGTGCACACAAGGTATACTGTTTCCATTACACTAACACGCTGGTGTACTGATATTACATTAAAAGTATATGAATAAACTGCTGGATTTATGTTGTTTTCTTGTTGTTTTGGGGATCTGACCCAGTCAAGCACCCTGAAGTATAAAGAGGAGCTTAGGTTTATCACCTATACACCCCAACAACTGAATTTGTCCCTTAGTTAATTTCTGTCTTATTTACTTACCACACACCGCGGCCCCAGTCTGTGCTCTATGAGCTAGACCCCAGTTGGCGAGCTTCAGGCAAGGGGCTGGTAGGTGTAAGATAAACCAAGATTATCCTATAAAGAAAAATTACACTAAAAATGTGGGGGAAAGGGCTGGGGGAGATGGCTCAGTGGGTAGAATGTTTGTTGCACAAACATGGACCTGAGTTTGGACCCAGCACCCATGTAAAAACCTGAGTGTGGCCATGTGCAGACTTGTAAACCCCAGTGCTCTGGAGAGCAGAGACAGGAGGCTCACTGATGGCTGCTGACCACCCTCCTGGCTTCTGGTTCAATGAGAAATGCTCTTTCATGGAAACTATGCATGAAGTGTAGAGTGGACAACCAATATTCTCCACTGGGCTGCACACACGCACACATGCACACACACGTGTGTGCACACACAGAGGTGCATACGCACACACATGCCTGCACGCACATGCACACAGAGGAGCATACACACACATGCACACACACGTGTGTATACACACAGAGGTGCAAACATACATATACACACACATGCATACACACACGTACTCAAGTGCACACAAGAACTCTCTTGAGTTCAAAGCCAACTTGGCTTACGTAGTAAGATGCTATCTCATAAAAAGAAAAGTAAAAAATTCTCAAATGTACTAAGTAACCTGTATGGGTTATCTAAAACTATTTATCCTCCGGAATATTAACCTTCATCAGGCGATGAAAGGAGACAGAGACAGAGACTCACATTGGAGCACCGGACTGAAACCTCAAGGTCCAAATCAGGAAAAGAAGGAGAGAGAGCACGAGCAAGGAACTCAGGACCGCGAGGGGTACACCCACACACTGAGACAATGGGGATGTTCTATCGGGAACTCACCAAGGCCAGCTGGCCTGGATCTGAAAAAGCCTGGGATAAAACCGGACTCGCTGAACATAGTGGACAATGAGGACTACTGAGAACTCAAGAACAATGGCAATGGGTTCTTTGATCCTACTGCACGTATTGGCTTTGTGGGAGCCTAGGCAGTTTGAATGCTCACCTTACTAGACCTGGATGGAGGTGGGTGGTCCTTGGACTTCCCACGGGGCAGGGAACCCTGATTGCTCTTTGGGGGACTTGATTGGGGGAGGGCGAGGGAAATGGGAGGCGGCGGTGGGGAAGAGACAGAAATCTTTAATAAATAAATAAATAAGTCATAAATAAATAAATAAATCTATTTACTCTTACTAGGCTATTTTGCAACCCTTTAAATATAGGGCTGCAAAGATATCTTAGTAGTTGAGAACACTGGTTCCCCTAATAAAATTCAGTTCCCAGCACGTACCTGGGAGTTCACAGCTGAATGCAGCTCTGATCCCGGAGAATCCACTACCTTCTTCTGGCCTCTGCCAGCACCAGGCACACAAATGGCACACAGACATACATGTAGACAAAATATTCACTATAGAAGATAAATTACAATTTCTAAAAACTAAAAATAAATAAATTAACTTGGAAAAATTTGATTGTAACATAAATAATTCCCACATAGAAATGAAGTTTTCATATCAGGAATAGCCCAACCTGTGGTCTGTAGGTGACATGTGTCCCAGTATAGGTATGAATGTGGTCCAACCATCGATGACAATATTGTGTCACATGTCAAAAGTGTGGGCACCTTTGACCTAAATAATCATCAGAGTTACACGGTTCACTAAGGAACACATTCACTTTCCCTCCAAAGCCACAGCAGTGTCCTCCTTCCGGAAGCTCCTGTGTGTAAGTCGTCATCAGAGGACCTGTCAGTCAAAGACGAGTGACTCAGTTTGTAGGCTAGAGAGGTCCACCCTGCCATTGTGGACAGCATTTTCCTACACAAGGAAAACAACCGCAACACCTGTGTCTCAGGGAAAGTAGTAGGCCAGGAGCAAAGGAAGGAAGAAGGCCGCCTTCGAAAAGGGATTCAGAAGCCAGACTTCTTCTCAAGGACGAAGTAATATCAGCTCATCTCACAAGAGCATTCCAAACAAAGACTTTGCTCTGTTTCGAGAAAGGAAAAATATCAAAACTCCACTGTGTTTCACATGTTACCATTACAGTTACATTTTTTAAAATCCCAGAAAAAGCAACTCTACCCTAGGGAACACATGGCTAAAATGCTGTCTTTGTTTTTAAGCTTTAAATCTCACATGATTATAGAGCTTAACATTTTACAGCTATAATGCCGTTCTAGTTATGGAACGTTTTATGCAGTGGGAGTGATTATACAGGAGGAATTTAATTAGCCCATACATGCAGTCATTAATGTCAGTTATAAAGGAACTGAAAATACGTGTCTATATGAGTGTGTGGTGTTTCTGACAAGAAAGACACCAAGCTATAATTTTATGAATAGCTGGTGATTCTAAATGATCATTATTTAGTGACATAACGAGTGAGTGATTCTAGGGAATGCTGAATAGGGGGGTGGGGAACCTCTGTCTGTGCGTCCAGTGTGGAACACTCAATGGAAGACGGAGAAAACCTTTCGACAATTAAAATATCCTATCATGTCCATTTTAATCTTTTAACTGAAAATTATCAACAATTTAATTGATTGTTAATATGTCAATATTTCTTTTTAAGTATTTGTAGTGTGTGTATGTGTGTGTATTTGTGTGTATGTGTGTGTGTGTGTGTGTGTGTGTGTGTGTGTGTGTGTGTGTATGCCACTTAGGTGCACGGACCCTCTTGGAGGCATCTGATCTCCTGGAGCTGGAGTTACAGGTGGCTGTGAAGCACCCGATGTAGGTGCCAGGAATCAAGCTCAGATCATCTTGGCAAGCAGCACGCACTCTTGAACACTGAGCCACCTCTCCTGTCTGCTCTCTGCTTATGAGTATCTGTCACACACTGCTCTTACTAAGGTGATTAGGCAGTGAGGTGATACAGTCACCACCCCTCAGACATCTCTGCCTACAAAATCATCCTCAGTATCTACAAGACCGATGTGTACACATCCTTCTTCCTGTCCTCAGTATAACTGACACTACAAAAAAAATGTGGCACTTTGAAGACAATGTAGATGTGGAATCAAGCCATGTTTGGGTTCCAGAATAACTAATTGCTTTTTGGGTGATTATAGATGATCAAGCCAACACTGTCAATGTCGACAGAGGTCCATTAAAAAGACTATAGTGTTACCATATAATGTGTGTGTGTATATATACATAGATATGTGTGTGTATGTGTGTGTAGATAGATAGATATAGAGAGAGAGACATTATAATACTGTTATAAAGATAAAGGGTAATATTATGTTGATGTCTGGAATATAATAAGTGATCAATTGATCAGTAAAGGTTATTCAAGCATTTCCTTCTCTTTCCTAATCATCAATGAGCATTTTATAAGTATTACATTTCTATATATGTTTTTCTATCTTTAACTGCATGTGGCATTGTTGCATGAGGGTGCGTCCACACAAGTATCCATCGTTCATTGAGTACACATCCTCATCCTTACATATTTGCTATATAAGCTCAGTGGGTGCTGTAACAGGAAATGGGCATCAGTGAAATGACAAGTATCGCAAGAGTTCACGTCTCTCAGTCTGTCACATCTTCACTTGCTGAGCTGCTAGTAGAATTCACTTCTCCCTCAACTTCACTGTTTTGACACCAGTGTTTAAAAACACACACAGAAACATTGAGCAATTGATAATGCTTGCAAAATGTTCCTGGCCTTTCCTGCTCTCTGTTTACAACGAGAGACTAATGCTCAAGCCTAATTAAGTACGGATAAAATGTTTGCTCAGAGAGAAAGATCTAGTTCTGCCTGTCCATGACGGGCAGCAAGGAGGCAGGAGCGGTGGTGCTCAGGAGGCGGAGACTGCAGAGTAGGAGACGATGTGGGATCCTGCCTGACCTGCTTCAGGTCATCCAGTTTCTCACACCTGCCAGAGGTAGTCAGTCTTGACCACGCCATCCAGCTGCTCTTCATCCAGGGATTCTTCTCCCAGAACCACGCTTCCCTGCATTTTGTCCTGTGATCTTCGCAAGTCTATATTGAGTCCCCTACTTTTCACCACTATACCACCCGGCCCTGAAAGGGAGAAAGACAAAAAGAACAGAAGTAATGTCTTACAGCCCATCTCCTGTCCTCTAGGGATCGTAAAATATAGGTGGATCAGTCAAATGTGGATTCTAACAAGCAAGAAATCATGCTTATGATGAGTCTGTCTCAAATATTCCATGAGATAGTATGTACTTGGCACTCTGTATTTTGATTTGCTCAATCTGCTGCCCCTTGCTGTGGAATGGTATTAGGCAACTTGCCTTGCCTGGTACCATCCTTGGTAAATATTATCCTGCTATGGTCTCTTTGAGGCCAGGAACAGTCTCCAGCCCTTTGGTTTCGTCACTGCTTCTCTCTCACCCACCGAGTTCCCATAACCCCGTCTTAAGCGTTGGCAAAGCAGGGACGGGATCCCCATTCACTCCTTCACTCCTCTGCACGAAAACAGCTGCTGAAAGCTGACCCGCTGCCAGGCACTGGGCTGGTGCTGAAGACAGAACTTCAAAGGAGACCCAGCATCAACAGGTTGCTCCCTGCTCCAACAGGACAGCAGAGAGGTCAAAGCACTTCCATCTCTGTGTGAGCTTCTAAACCAGGACGGTGAGAACACAGTTAAAAGATGCCAGTGGCACTCGCCTAGGAGGAAAGAGCACCAGGCTGAGACTTAGTGACTCGTGGATTTGCCAGAGAAACGGCAGAAGGAACAGCATAAATGAAAGCTCACAGGGAGACACACAGAGGCACTGATGACTAATGTACCAGCTCCCTCTTATTCCAAGCTTGCTCTGACCTGGGCCACCATTCGCGGTCTTGGAGGCCTCACGCTCTTGTTGGTTATTTCCTTCAACTTCTTCAAGAACAATAGCTCCTCGGCTCCTACCCTATCTTCCTTCTCTGAGCACTGGGCTTCTCTCTTTCTCTCTTCGTGCAGCCTTAGCATCTTCAGGGATGCAGAACTGAGTGTAGCCAGGTGTCTTTCCTGGCCTGGCCTCCCTCCACCCATCTTCCCTTCACTGCCCTGGCCCTGGGTTCTTGCTTTTCTTTACTACCCCCACCTCCTGATGCCTAGCTGAAGCTCACCCTAGGAAGCCTTCTGATCTTTTGAGTGACACTACTCACCTCTCATTCTGCATTTCCTGCTTTCAAAAAAAAAAAAAACCCACAACACAATGGTGGTTGACAATGACATTTGTAGGTTCCAACTCTAAAAGTACTGTCACAAGAGAAAGTAAAACACATCTCTAAAGAGAGGCACACACAGTGCAGGAGGAAGGTCTCAGGCGTGCAGGAGGAAGGTAAGCCCATTAATTTCACATCCCAGCCAGCATCCTCAGGATGAGCAACGGCGCTCTCTCACTTTTGCAGTACCAACCTGGGTCCAGCACAAAGCCAGCAGCCATGAAGCCGCTGACGCAGGAATTTACATGTAATTAAATCTTCAGTCCTAATTAAACTTAGATGTAATTAATGTTCAGCGATGGCTGAGTGATAGAATTAAGGAAATAATGAATAGTAGCTGCTTTCTGTACTATGTGCTGAGCAAAATGTTACAGGGTTTGAACTGGGGTCTTACACAGAGCCCAGAAAGTACAGAATCGATATAGAATCTAATCACAGCAACTAAACTGCATTTGGCTTCCAGAGGCCCTGTAGCCAATTAACTAATGAAGCTATAAATAATTAACAGGTTAGCCTGTAATCAGCTGTGTGATTGGCTGAGTAAGCTGGAGCCAATTAAGTTTTCTATGACTTGTTTCTGTTTTCCTATAAATGCCATCAGATCTCACTGTCGGGAGAGTTCTCAGACCCTGCTAAGACTGTGGCAGCTGCTGCCCAGTTGGTGAAGAGTTGGTTTGGTCTAAGGTTCTTTCATTTTAACATGTGAAGCCATGTTGAGCGTTCTGAAACATTTGTGACAAGAGAGTGTCTATGGTGGCTAATTTCACATGTCAGCTTGATGAGCAAACAATATTCTGGATGTTTCTATTGTGGACTGTTTTTACATGAAAATGCTGGGATTTAAATACGCTAAATACGCTGAGGAAAGCAGGGTTCCCTGTCTAGGGTGGTAGATTTTGTCCAAAACAAAAATGCTGACTGTTCTCTGAGTATATAAGAGTTCTTCCTCCTTGCTGCCTTCATAGAAGTCATGAGTATCCCCTGAATCTTGAGCCTCCTGGTCTAGGGACTGAATGATGCCTCTGACATGCCTCGGTGTCAAGCTTATTCACTAACTCTACACACTGTAGGGCTTGAGTGCTTTCATATCTTATAAGCTAAATTCTTTTTACAAACGTATGTATGTGACACACATAGATGATAGATAGATGGGTAGATAGATTGAGATAGATAGATAGATAGATAGATAGATAGATAGATAGATAGATAGATAGATGATAGATAGATAGATAGATGATTGATCGATGATAGATAGATAGATAGATAGATAGATAGATAGATAGATAGATAGAAGATTTATACACATAAACACCCAAACATGAAAACACATAAACATATACATACATGCACACACACACACGTTTGGTTTTCTTTCTGGAGAACCCTCAAGCAATCTCTCTGAAAGTAAAGCAGTGAGAAGACACTTTGCTGAAAAAACTCACCTTTAATTAGACTGACAAATCCTCTTTGATTCAGATGTCTCTTCCTCTCTTGGCTTCTCCCAGTGTCCACCTGTACTAAATGCTGATGATTTCATTCCTCTGGGTCATTTTTATTTCCATAGTCAATGTCAAGGGCCTTTGAAGAATATTCTTAATTAATTTAATCCCTAGAAATTCCCTAACAATAGGCAAATAAATATCACCACATGTATATCTAAGACTTCCAAGTAGACTAGGGGATAGGGTTGTATTTGAGGGAATCAAAACAAAGGACAATTATCCCTGAGCGCTGATATTCAAAAATCAAAAGAAAAAAAGTCTGGGTAAAGTTAATTGAGATTTTCCTCCTCAGATCTTCTCACAGTCCTTGATAGTGTTTTGTTTGTTTGTTCTTTTTGTTGTTGTTGTTTTGTTTTGTTTTGCAGAAGTAAAGGTTTTGAAAACGACAAGAATTGAGAGCTCAGTGGGAGGGGATGAGGTGAGAGTTTGGAAAGGATTTCAGTGGGATCTGGGTGCTAGATGCATTTCCTGAGCAGTATTGCTGACTTTCCTGGTGCCCTGCTGAGATTCCCAACCTCAAACTCAGTCCTCCCTTTGGCAAAATGTCACACACTGGACTTCCAGCCCCTGGATCACCATAAAGAGGGCCTCCCCCTTCCCCATTTCTGAGTGAATCAGAGACCCATATACACCCTTTCCGTTGCATAGGCTGAATGTAAAATGTGTGGTTGTGCAGGCCAGTGTTACCACACACAGCATCCTCCACAGCACACTTAGATTGTATGGTTGCTGTCACCTCAGAGATGGGGACCAGGGTTTTTAAGTGCAGTCAATGAGCATCTCTAAAGGAAAAGGAGAATATTTGCCTGTAGACCTGGTGACAGGCTGGAGGTGGGGGTCGGGGTGGGAGGTGAGCCTTGCCTCATGCCTGCAGTCTGAGATCAGAACAGCAAATTTCAGCGTCCCTCGTCAGCATTCAGAAAGCCTGAGGTGTTATGGTGAGCTGTCCGAGAACACTTAGATATGAGGCAATTTACATGAAAACCTAAAACAAACAACAGAAGCCATCTGGGAACTCTCACCCTGACCCCTACACTCGCCCCCAAAGCAGCTATTTTTAAATCACCAAACCACTGTAGTATCTGTGGCATTTTGGAGGTGGCCGGGATCGTGAGTCACATCCGTCTTTACAGGAATGATGGCGAAAGACAGCTTGTTCAGCACTCCGTTTATGAGATGTGAACAGCAATTAAGAAGCTGGGGGTGGAAGGAAGGTGGGAGGGGAGGGGAGGGGGAGGTGGGGGGCGTTTCACACGCAATCGGACCTCGTCCCAAAGTCTCTTTATCAGGACTCTGACCTGAGAGAAGAGCCACAGCCCAGACTCGTTTGGTGGCATGGTAGTCGCCTGCCATCCTGGAATCTTGTCTGAGTTACAGAAACTTTGCTTCCTCCTTCGGCACCCTGACTCGGTCGCATATGCTTAGAATGTGTCCCTGACCCTCTTTGCCCACAGCAGCTGGTGAAAGTTCCTGAACGTTCGACTCCTGAGGGAAACACTCGGTGTTCCAGTGCGTGTGACTCAGGTGATCACCTCATGGCAGTAAACAGCCCTCGTAAAACCAACCTTTTATCTGCCGGCCTTCGGAGCCGCTGGAGCAGGACATGCGTGAGAGACCTGAACGCAGCATTTCCAGCCTCTCACAGCAACGCTCTCCTGCCCCCAAGAAGAGAACTTGCTTACACCATGAGAAATAAAAGAACGTATTCCCACTTAGTGAAGACAGGTTCGAAAGGGGAGAAGTTCAAAGCAATGGAGGAAAATGCGGTCAGCACTGGAGTGTTTCCTTAGCCCAGGAAGACTTGAGTTCACTGACCCAAGCTGACCTCAAATTCAAGTCTACCTTTGCACTTTTGTGCGTTCTTTCTGGGCTCATGTGTGACGGCGTCCTTGTTCCCTGCCCTGGCAACCATCACTCTTCCAAAACAGCAAAGATGTTAGCTGGGTGGGGATTGGGGGGGGGGGGTGCAAGGTTGGAATCCCAGCATTTGGGAAGGTGAGGCAGGAATTTTGATGAGCAGCGGGATTATGGGTATTTCTACATGTAACATGCAAATGGAAACAATAGAGACATATTCAAGACTATTCTGATAGGCATTGTGGTATTGCTAAAGGCTTCTTTATTCTGTAAGAAGTATACCCATGAAAATATACATAGTACAATATCTATTTTGTATCCATCAAAATATATATAGTACAAATAATTCTATACAGTCTTCTAAGAAGCCTAAAATGAGGTAAATTGTGAAAGAAACCCCTTAAAATCCACTATCCTCTTTGTGCAAGCCAGTGGGAGGCCTGTCCCTTTCTGAATGGAGATGGAGGAGGAGTGGATGGGGAGAGGGGGTAGATGAGAAAGAGGGGTGGGAGGAGAGGAAGAAGGGGAAACTGGTTGGTATGTAAAATAAATGAAAAATGTTATTTAAATTAAAAAAATCCACCATCCTAGCAGTGACTATGTTACCTTTGTAATGTAACACACTTGAAATTCCTGCATAGTACCATTTTGCTAAAGACCAAACCAAACAAAACAAACAGAAAACTGCCCTGTATTGAGAATTTCGCACTTACATAAAATGTGTTTGATAATTCGATCCCCTCCAGTTCTCCCTTTCCCTAACAATTTCAAACACAAACCACAAGCATGGAGTCCATTTAGTTCTGCCTGTGTGTGCACGGTGCAGTGCCATCTGCTGGAGCCTGGGTGGCCTCTGAGGGGGGGGGGGACACATCTCTGAAGAAAAGTCACTCACCTTGAACAGTCATGCTGCCAATGGCTCCTCAGGCCACTTTACTCAATGCACTCTTTTCCTTGCTATCCTAACTCTCAGCCACACTGGCCTACCCACAAGTCTCTAAAGTAGTGTGGGGCCTTTGCAAGTGTGTGGGGATTTTGTTTTCTGCAGTCTAGGTCTTTGCCGCCTGCCTTCTCTGCCTCGAAGGTCTTACTCATCCATCAGATCTTATCTCATTACTCATTACCAAGCCATCATAGACTCCTCATCTCATCCCTACCCCGTTTATTATATGCACCTATAAATGATATCTTTTTCCTGTTTGGCTCTTACCCCGTTTGGCATATTCCTTATCTCTTACCGTTTTAATCAATCAACCCAAAATTTAGTGGCTTAAAGCAACAAGCATTTACTGTCGCAACATTCCCAGGAACAAGGATCTGGAAGCACTTTGCCAGGGCGGGCTGTTCCAGCTCAGTCTTTGATGAGCTTCTGGCAGCCTGAAGCCACCTGCAGTCCTGCCTAGGGCCTCTCCACACCCAGCTGGACTCTTCACAGCCTAGTAACTTACTCACCCCAGAGGAGGCCAGGGAGGGCACACTGATGCCGGTTGTGCTTTGTCTTCAAGTTTAGCCACTCCCTGCGTACTTACTAGAAACATTTTATCAGATTCCTCCATCAGGGAGAAAATTGGGTTTTCACTTTTTGAGGGAATTTTTTTTAGAAATATCTGAAGCTGCCCCACACGATTACTTACGTAAACATATGTCTTCCATCCTAGATTAAGAATTCTTGGAAATAGGACCCCCCTACACACACGGCTCCCACTTTTCTCTGCCAGAAGCCTGAAGTACATCGGCACGCAGTAATGTTAAATGGGTGGGAGGAAGAGGATGGGGGCAGGGACGGAGAGCTGAGGGATGAGAGAACGACCTGAGTGGCATCTCGGTAACTGGGTCCCAGATCTAGAGAATTTGGTATAAACCATGGAATCCTAACGTTCTGGTTCGGGTAAGTGGGTGTAAATACAGCGACTGAGTAGGGGCATACAACACCATGTGTATGATATGGCAGACATAATCTACAGACACGCAGCATGAGCTACAAGGGCACTCTCAGGGGGAGGGTGTCCAACAGAGAGGGATAGCAAAAGAACGTAGTTAAAAGAAAAGACAGAATACATATTTTCTCTTAATTAAAGATCTAGATTTAGTTGTGTATACACACAGCTAGCTATGCAATATGTGTGTATGTGGGAGACATGAACACGTGGGAGGGGTTATCGGAGGTAGAAGGGGACCAGCCAGCCACAGGGGACTAGCAACGATGAGGAAGCACAGTAGGAAAGTAAATATGAGCAGAGTATAATGCTTTTCTTTGTCTAATTTATATGAAAACATTATGATAAGCTCATGATTTTATGCTATAATTTAAAATTATTCTGGATCTTTTTCTTCTCCTTCCATGTTTAAATCACTTAGGCCGTCTATTAGATCTGGATCCCACTTCTGGTGTATCTCCCCTCCCTCCCATCTACTGGTGAGTGTCCAAGGCTGTTACTCCAGGACCTTTGCACATTCCTATGAACCCCCGCCAGACTCTCTCTCTCTCTCTCTCTCTCTCTCTCTCTCACACACACACACACACACACAATCGACACACTACAAACAGACTACTTATCTTTAATTCTTTACACCATCTGCTCTTGCAGTCTCTGTTGCTGCCATATTTGTTAAATGTGTGATAGCTGGGGGGAGGGGTGAAGAATTGCATATGAATTTCAAGTCCTTTCCACTCCTTGTTTGTGCAGAACTGATAATGTACCCAAGCCCTCCGTAACTTAGAGAACCAAGTTCAGCCAGTTCCAATAGATCTGGCTGTTAGCCATAGTTGATCACATTCTTCTCAAGTCTGCACAAACTAAATGGCCCAGAAATAGCAGATCTTTTAGAATAGCAATTGGAAAATATAATGAGATTTTTATCACTCTTTAATTCTAGCTCTAAGGCAAGTGCCTTCACGCTATTACTAATAAGGCCTCTGTTGAATGTTGACATTCTGTAATAGTAACAATGGTGCTATATCAGGAATTCTTCTGTTCTATTTTTCCCTTTTGTGCTGCTGGGGATTGGCCCTAGGGTCTCACTCAGTGCTAGTGTACTATAGAGTACCATACTATGGATTTATATTGTGAAGATGGCAAATTCCCAGTGATCTGTAGTAGACAGATACTATGCGGTGGTACATAAGGCTTGTAGGAAGTTGCCAAGTGAATGACACATTCTGCCTTTAGGTTTCTCAGACTTGCCATAAAATAGATGATAGTTCACATTTTAATAAATTGGAATCTACTGAAAACACGCACACTTGGGGCAAAGTTTGCTTCTGAGAAATAAATATGTGTATTTTGGAAACGTTGGTTAAAAGTTCTCATTGAGATTAGCAGTGCTATTCATACAATGGCATCCTGTGTGGTTTGAAAATGAATGGCTCCCATAGGTTCACAGATCTCAGGACTTGGTCATCAGGGAGTAGTGCTTCTTGACATGGATTCGGAGGTTTGGCCTTGCGGAAGCCAGAAAATACAAATGGTTGGGCTTTGGAGGAAGCAGAGATCAAGTCAAGCCCAGTCTCTCTCTCTCTCTCTCTCTCTCTCTCTCTCTCTCTCTCTCTCTCTCTCTCTCTCTCTCTCTCTCTCTCTCCCTGTGCCTGCCAATCTGCATGAAGAACTCTCAGCTCTTCTCCAGCACCATGTCTGCCCGCATGCCACCACACATGATGACAATGAACTAACCCCCTAAACTGTAAGTCATCCCCAATTAAATGTCTTTCTTCTCTAAGAGTTGCTGTGGTCATGGTGTCTCTGCACTGCAATAGACACTGACTAAGACACACTCCAACAGTTGTAACTGCTCTAACATCCATCCTGCCAGCGTGGGGACTTGGGAACTATTTCCCCAGAGCCCCTCATCCCTTGCATAAGGTCTCCACTGCTTGGGCTCTGCAGATGCTCTCAGCAGCTGAGATAAACCCCATGACTGAAGCTACTGTGTGTGCCTGCTACTCGGTGTGCCCTAGAACTGTGTAAATCTGGTAAGATCTCCTTCCTGTTAGTACTCCTCAGCATCCCAGCTACTACAAAATAAACAACAAAAAATAGAGTCTGACCAGAATCACAGACTTTTGTTTTCCACTTTGGGTCAACAATTAAAGTAACAAAGGCTGTTCAGGCTTCACAGCGTTAGAGACCTGCAGAAAGGCGTCATCTCTATAAGAGGGGGGCCTCACAATCCCTGACCCACATATGGGGCAGGCCCTGGCTTCCCATTCTGTACCCAAGATCCCCAGAGATTGGTTCACCATGCCCATCACTCATTGTCCTGCTGACACAGAACTGAACTGGATAGCTCCTTTTGCCAATGGCTGCCCCTAGTGTGTTGTCATCCTTGGGCTCTGGCCCCCATGCCAGTACCGGCCTCTGCCCTAACTGTGGCAACCAGAGCAAGATGGCTCAGCGGGTGATTGCTGCCAAGCTGAGAACCGGGGTTCAATCCTGAAGATCTACAAGGTAGAAAAAGAAAAGTGATCCCAAAGTGATCCTCTGACAATCACCTGGGCACCATAGCACACAGACACACACTCACACGCATGTCTGAAGATCTACATCTACAAGATAGAAAAAGAAAAGTGATCCCAAAGTCATCCTCTGACAATCACATGGGCAC